TGCCAGTATTGAAAGAAAAATCAATCGGATAAGAAATGGCTGCGATTTGTTTTGAAAATAAGGCGTAAAAGGTTACCATCGGGGATATTCTGTTTGGCATCAGTTGTGCCATTATTGGCGACTTTATCGCCTGCGCCGGCAAAACGGAAAGTACCAAAAATTTCAATAAAAAAGTTATTTGGCAGTTTAATAAGAAGTATAGTTACCTCTGGTAGCCACGCATGCTGCACAAAAATTGCCCATATGTTCTATCACAGTGAGGGTGAGTTGTGGCATCAAACAGTCTCACAGATGCCCAGTAGGATCAGGAGAGTGAGGCCTCCTGAGGCCACTAATTGCGCTGGATATTTTCACTTTCAAGGAATCAGGATCGCATGGTGACAAGGCGCGTTATCATCCATGAATATGAATCCAGGACCGAGTGTACCTCAAAACAAGCGAATATAAGTTTCAAATACTTTTAGCAGTAACAGTTTCTGTACCTTTTAGCAGTAACAGATCCCTTATCAATGAATGTGGAGGTATCTGTAGCCATCAAGCATTATGCCTTCCCACAACATGACTCTTTGAAGGAAAATGATGTCTTTCCATGATGTTTCTTGGGTGAAAACGAATTCTACTTTTTCTCCATGTCGTAATCCGACGAGAATCAGAACTCAGGGTAGACTAAGACTCGTCACTGAAATCGCATTCGTCCACTCTGTCAAACTCCATTGCTGATATTAGAGCGTTTATTCGCAGGCGTGTAAGGAATGCAAACGGCTGGTCGACTGACATACAGACTAGCTACTAAACAATTTGAGGCAAAACTTTGTTCTCCTGTCTCGGCTGTGAGCGCTGAATCTATCTCTCTGCCCCAATGTCCGTCTGACGTCGCGCAGTTATTGCTAAATATCAGTCTTGACGAATAGTTGTTTCTCTTGTTCGATCTTGCACTGGTCGTCATGTAATATCTCCTGCGCTGTGACATCTCTGCCACAGTCTTGATATGACACATTGAGGCACATTTAGAATTTGTGACACTTCGATTTGAGATCGACCACATTCCCACATTCCTATAATTCTTCTTTTCAAAAGCATGTCCGTTTGGCGTCTTTGTGCCATGCTTCGGCATTTTTGATCGTTTACCTCGCTCCTCAGCATAGTTACACTTAACCTGCCTGATCTAAGATATGGCCCGTGAAACGGTTTTGTACTCTATGTGACATGAAACGGTTTTGTACTCTTCGTACGCGCACATGTTTTGCACACGCCGACGTCAAATGAAATGTTTTGCATATGCACATTGCTTCATCTTCAAACAATGATTCTCCACAAGTGGTTTAGAACGGATTTATTCATTTTTAACGGTCATTTTAACGGATTTTATAACGGTCAGTCATTAACGGAATTTATCGTCTTGAGAAGTGATGTTACGTGTCTAAATTTCTTCATGTTCTTCAAAATATTGGTCACTTTAAGAGGTAATCGACGTTAGAAGTTTCAGAGTATGCAGAGTGTTTCGAAAGAATTGCAGAACTAAATATCTCTTGAATACTTGTTCCTAGAGACATGGCTCTAGTTCAGGAAATGAATCAAATAAGATATAAATTCAAATTGACACATTTTTATCTCCCAAGATATTTTTGTAAAATATCTCAGCATTTCATGTTTTTATTCGGGGTTTTTAATCCACATTAACATCTTGTTCTTTATCTCACAACTCTAATAGAAAAATGTCCCATCTATATTATACAAGTTCTGGTGTGAAAGGAATATGTAAAGTATATTGATTTACACTTTTTCTCACCGAATATATGAAAGGTGAGGAAACTCGTAAAAATATCATTAGCTTAAAGATATTTTAAAAATCAAAATCATTAACAAATTAATGAAAATATTAAATAAATAAAAACAATTTAGTAAATATAACTTACAAGGTATTTCTCCCACATTCCTAGCGTGCTTTCGTGGTGTAGTGGTTCTGCATACTCGGCGGGTATTCCAGAAGTTCGTGGTTCGATTTCCAGCGAAGGCGGTTGCTACTTTTTATCTTGCGTGCTTCCAAAAAGCACCTAATGTCTCTACAAACTAATTAAATACAAATATTTTTAATTTTAGCCTTTTAAAAATTATAATCTGGAACTAATTCTAAACTGATCTTTTCCTAACTAAAACAATTTCTTTTAGAAATTCGCGTAACGTGCTAATTACCAACAACAGTATTCCAGATGATTCCTGGAAACTTTAATTGATGATGTCTAAAGTAATTCTGAAGCACTCTGAGAAAGTTAATCCATAAGAAAATTTTAATTTCGTGTTATTTTCCTGAAAGATATCACAGGAACAAAGGTGTCATTATTTAAAGGTTGATAATATTTTATTCTGCTTTTCTAATTCGAACTATTATATTCAAATACTATTAGGTCATACATTCAAGCACCCTGCATGTGTAGAAACCATCTATCGCTGAAACGATCCGTTAACTTCATTATTAATGAAAAATTCCAAAAAACGATAGGAAAATTGCATTTTAATCAAATCTAAAAGAAAAATAAAATACAAAAATAAAAGAGTTGAAGAGGAACTCCCGCCCCCGTTAACTAACCTTTCGACTGAATTTAATTTAATAAACGAGAGCATGATTTCTATTTCCTAATATCATTAATCTAAAATTTATTTTTCGCGAAACAATATTTATTAAGAAATAAGCAATTTATTGCTTTAAATTTAATGAATTTGAATTTAAATTCCAATTAAATTCTTTTAAATTCAATTTAACTGCTTTAAACTTGCTTTTTTCAATTTTGGCTTTAAATTTGCTTTTTTTACTTTTATACGTGTTTGTTAAAATTTAGATTTAAATTTGTTTAAAAATATATAATATATAAAGCAGTTAAATTGAATTTAATTAAATTCAATAATTCTTTTAAAATAAAACATAAAAAACTTTTATGTTTTATTTTAAAAGTTTTTCGTTTTGAACTTTATGAGGTTCGAATCCCGCGAACGGGATGGCTGCATGGGCGTTTTCGTGGTTTCCCAATTTTTCGTGTATACGAGCCAGTTTCCCTTAGAAAGTCCTCCACGAAGGCATCCCTCCCGTTAGGCAGATAGCCCTAGTGTGCTTTGCCGTAATCTCAATAAACCAAACCAAACCAACGTTTTGAAATTTACTAAGCATCCTTTCTTTTATTACTAAGCAACTATAATTTCACCCGTTTTAATTAATTTTGCGTAATCGATTATTTTTGGAAATTCTTAATTTTTCTTTTAATATTTCACATCTGAACACCAGTGGCGTAAATAAGGGTATGCAAGGAATGCCGTCGCATAGGGGCCCGAAGGCTTAGGGGGCCCTTAAATGTCCTGCTGAATTACATTTACATGTTTAAACTTAAAAGACGGATTCCATTACATATATAAAGAAGCTTTAATTCATTTTCCCTTGATGAGTTCGGAATTAGAATTTCAATAAAAGAAAATTAATTATTTTTATATTTTTTATCTTGTATTTTTTCCCTTTTGCTTTTCCTTTTTATTTTTAGAATTTGTACTACTATAAATTCTTATTTTAATTTTGGTAAGTTTGGATTTTGTGTTGAACCCCATTTACATGATTGTTAATATTAATATAGTTGAGGAATAGCCTTGATTTGACTCCAATTTACTTTTAGCTTTAGAATCCTTAAGTATATGTAGATAATAGAATTCGTTTTCTTTTAAGTTTTTAAAAAGTTAAAATTCCAGCATTCGACTATGAAATAATAACTTCATGACCTACCCCAGTTTAGGGATAGCAGTGAGCGGAAAATAGGAAAAGTTTCTTTGTATTCTTTAGTCTCAAACGTGAAAATTATTAAAGGCGACCCCCTAAAGGAAAGGTTTCTCCTTTTGCAATCCCAAATCAAAAAGCGGTGGAAGTGGAAATTAATTGTAACTATTCATTATAAAGTACTTATTTTGTGTATTAATTTGTTTCTTTATAATTCGCATTATAATCGAATAATCAGTAGACATATTTTCTTTCTTTTCTTAATGCGATACGTCGACATGTTCCTTTTTTTATATAGACTTATTCATTTTATATAGACTTATTCATTTATTATCAGTATGCATCTCAATGAAAGGAGAGAAAAATCTGTCTCTCGCACTCACACGAAAAGTCTTAAGTAACTGAAATTAAAATCATTTGACGTCAAAGACTCAGACTACAGCAAATTTTCATTTCACCAGTTGGTCAAGGGAAATTATTTTCCTTTTTATTCTTTCTTCACGTTACGTACCTTTCAACTGGTTCCCAAAGAACGTGCTTTTATTTTTTAACAATTAATCCAGATGTGATAAAAATCATCATGAAAACATTGGCTCCTGGAATCCTTGATTTTTTTTTAATTTTCGCGTTTTTTATTTATTTATTTATTTTTAAGCACATTAATTTTATTGGGAAAGGGACCCAGGAACATTTTTTTGCATAGGGGCCCAAGAGTTCTAGTTACGCCACTGCTGAAAACAATCATTATAATAGTAATCGATTACTTTTGGAAATTCTTAAATGTCTATTTATATTTAACATCTGATTACAATCATTATAATCGCAATCGATTATTTTTGGAAATTCCTAAATGTTTTGTTTATATTTCACATCTGATTACAATCATTATAATCGTAATAGATTATGTTTGAAAATTTGAAAATTTTTTAATATTTCATATCTGGTTCAGCAAACAGTATTCAGCGCGGGCGTTATATTTCATTAGCTAGTAGCACGTACCATCTATTAATGAGACGCCAACACGAATCTTTATGCGTGCAATAGCACGCTAGCGAGTTCGGCAGAACGTACTTTTATGACGGATTTTTACATTAAAAATAGCCTTTAATGAAATGAGTTCTCTGGGTTTTCAAACTACATTTTTACGTGCAAATATATTTAAAATAAATAAGAAAAAATTAATAAACTTCACTATTACTCTCTGAGGAAATGGCAGCAGCTGCGTCACTTTGCCTTTTGGGAATATTGCTTTCTTTAATAACTAGGATATTTTAATATCAAACATTAATATAATTTCATTTTTCAACTTGTATTTTAGGGAATTTGGAGTGTTAAAACAAAAATATGGATTCCAAAGATATTATCCCCGTTTTTCCTACTCCAATGGCCAAGCAAATAATGATGTCTCGATTGAGAACTGCTGAGAAAGGACATAATATCATGAAGCGAAAATCAGAAGTTCTTCAAATGAAATTTAGAAACGTTGGCAAAGAAATTATTGAAATTAAATCTCTACTGGGCGAAATATTCAAAGAGGCTTCGTTTTTACTAGCAGAAGCAAGATTTGTCAGCGGAGATTTCAGTCAAACAGTGCTAAGTGCCGTCGATAAAGCCAGGGTCAAAGTAAAGCATAGACTGGAAAATATAGCAGGCGTCCAACTGAGAATTTTTGAATGTTACTCTGAAGGATCTGACATGTATGGTTTAACAGGGTTAGCAAGAGGCGGAAGACGTTTGGCTTCGCTGAAACGGGCGTATTTTAATGCCACTCAGATTCTTGTTGACCTGGCTACTCTTCAGACAACTTTCCAGATCCTTGATGAAGTGATTAGAGGTAATAATCGAAGAGTTAATGCTTTGGAATATCTGTATATCCCTAAAATTGAAAGGACTCTAAAGTATATTGATGATGAACTGGATGAAAGAGAGAGACAAGAATTCTTCATAATGAAGACACTTCAGAAGCTGAAAAGGGAAAATATCAAAAAGATGCGAGAAGAGGTTTTTAAAATTAAAACTTCGGGAGATCCTGAAGGAAAGGTGCGAAATATTTTGGAGGAAATGGAAGATAAAGATAATCTTTTCGCATAAAGTTTTGTATATAATTTGCATGTAAATTAAGAGTACGTTCTGTACCTACGAAATTTTATGTCCCGCTGCATTTGATTAAATGATACTTCCATGTTAAAATAGTCACTGCATTTAATTGTCAAAATTGATAAACTTAATGTCTAAATTCGAAATACACAACAATTTACTGGCTTACACCTGTCGTCATTGCGGATGCTCACCATAATTGGGAAGTTGTGGCGAAAATGGCTAATATTCCATAAGCGGGGAAAGTTGGCGCCAAACTATTTTGGCCTTCAAATTTGGCGAATTTTTTTGACGGCAAGGAAAGCACTAAGATGCGATTTTTAAACGTAAACAGAATAGTAACTTTTAAGTTTTGCAGTAGTGAAACGCCGTTATTTTATATAAACAGAATAGTAAAATGAGATGATAAAATACTAGATGAGTAAAACAAAGTCCAACAGCTTTGCAAGTAAAAACATAGTCCTTTCTATGTAATTCCTCATAAAATAGTAGTATGAACTATTCCTGTAAATAATTATTGAGTAAATAAATATATACACTTATCAGATCGAAGATTCAATACGAGACTTATCAGACTCATTGCGAAGTGAGTTTTAAACGTAAACAGAATAGCAAATTTTTACTTACAGTGGTGAACAGCGATCATTATGTGAAACAGAATTGAAAATTGATTAAATGATAAAACAACGTGGTGCTACTTTGGTAGACGGTTGCACCGTGGCCTTCGAGAACGGTTGCACGGATTTTTGGCGATTTACGTTGGCGCAATTCTTGGCGCCATTTCTACAAACGTCAGCCATCTTGAAAAACGCTGTTTTTACGCATAGTAAAGTATTCAAACTTAAAAAATAAATAAATAATATCGTTAGAAATAATGATTAATTTTTTTGTTGAAAATGTCTTTTTTTAAGATGGCAGCAAGTGTAAATAAATAGTTTACTATGAGTATAAAATACTAAGTAAGATTATTATTACTTTCATATAGCAAAGAGAGAAAAAAACACCGCTAAAAACATTGTGCCAACGTTTAATTAGATTAAATTATTACTGAAATTGAATATCGAATAAAAAACATCATCCAACATTTAAAAGAATTAGAATATTATTAAAAATACTTTAAAATACGTTATAATAGAATATAATATATATATTATATAGAATAATACATTTACTACGAGTATAAAATACTAAAGAAAGGTTAAATTATTACTTTCATATAGCCAGAATAGAATAAAATACCACTATAAAACATTGCGCCAACGTTTAATTGGATTAAATATTACGTAAATTGAATATCGAATTAAAAACCATCATACCAACGTTTAAAAAATTAAAATATTACTTAAATTAAATCTTTAAATAAGTAAATAAGAACGCTTCGTACACTAGAGCTAAAATGACAGCAATTAGTTTATTGCGGTAAAAAGGAGGAATGTCTAATAATTTTTTTACCGTTACAGCGGTTATTTCTTCCAAATGACCACAATATCATTTACGGCCGTCTCAGAATCGGCTCTTCTAACGATCTTCATCTCTGATCTATTTTCGCACTTCTTGGAGAGCTTAGTGACATTTCCTCCAAATTTAAAAATAAATTTCCTCTTGACCCTTGTAAGATTTATAAATAAATCTTTGATTAGGAAGCCAGGCTGCGAAATAAGGTCTCAACCAATCAATTAAATTATTTAAATAATCATACATAATAAAATTATTTTAAAAAAATGCAAATTAATTGTATTTTAATATTTAACAACCATAATAATGTTTAAAACATTAGATTAAATTTATAAAATTAAAACCAATTACATTTAAAGTAAGGTGATGTCATTGATTACATCATCCACAACATAAAATATTATAAACAATAATTTTAATAAAATTTTTATTTCAAATAAAAATGCAAAATTAAATTGATTTAATATTTAGAAGCCATAAATAATATTTAAAACACGGAATTTATCATAATAACACGCATATGGTACTTTTCCGTTTTGCCGGCGCAAGCGATAAAGTCGCCAATATGGTACCACCGATTGCCAAACGGAATATTCTCGCTGGTAACCTTACGCCTCATTCAGATAGTTCAGTTTTATGTCTAAGGCCTTTTTCGCAATTAATCAATTAGGATGCAATCACAGCGCTTACCCAAGCCGAAAATATAGAAAGGAAAGTCAGGGTTAATTCATCAATTCTAATGAGATGCATAGCGAAGTAAAGCCCTGCAGTTTTACATAATTTCTGAGTAGCTATTCGTACGAATTGAAGTATTTCTTTGCATTTAAACTTGTGTTCCAAATTAAGATTTAACTTGAAATTAATGTAGATAATTTACTGAACATTATATTTTTGTAGAGTAGTATACGTGAGATGAGATCGCTTGGGGTCACATGATATGAACCGACGAAACAGGATTTGAACCATGAAAAGCATAGTAATTCTTAAATTAATGTCTTTTTTATAATTTATTGTCTTTATTTATTGGCTTTTTTATAAAATTTTAAGCGATATTAAAATGTTATGCCTTCAAAAAGAATTCTTAGGACTAACATTTTTTAATATTTTTTGTGTGCATAATATATTTGTCGCCAATAAGTCTGCTTGGCGAGATTGCGCCGCGAACGAAAGTCCCGCATTATTTTTTAAATAAAAAGTCAACAAAGTATCGGTTACCATAATAACTTATCCAGCAATGGTTTACCATAAGTCGTATTACTCGCCAAAAGAAAAATTGCCAAAAACTCGCCAAAATCCGTGCAACCGTCTACCAAAGTAGCACCAACAACGTCGTGGAATTCAATACACTAAACATCTTCGTTCAAAACTTCTTTCGATTGCCACATGCAAGAAACAAAACTTTTAAAAAAATTAACTAAATAAAATTAAATCAAAACATTCATAAATTTACGCCATCTGAAATCCAACATTCTCCCACCAACAATATTAAACATATATATTAATAAAAATAATCTTAAACAGTAAAACCTTTAAAAACAAACACAGTATTTCAAAATTAAATTTAAAAAAAATCTGGCTACACTAAATTCGCACTCTTACAATTACCGAAATAAAGCTCTAGGTTTGCCACAAGAAAACATACAGCTGGAAACCACAACCAAATCAAAATCGCGCTAAATAAAAAACCTCTCGCAAAATTTGGCGCTTACCCCGATTATGGAATATTAACTGCGAAATTAATAATCAAGTATAGATTTTAGCTTACTTCATTTAAACTGTAGCGCAAAATTAATAATCAAGTACAGATTTTAGTTTACTTCAGTGAAGTTCTTATTAAAGGAAAATTAACAAATTTTAAAAGCAGAGTGTGTTATTTTTCTATTCAATATGAATCACCTAAAACAAATTCAATGATGTCTGTCGAATAAATACAGTTACTTATGGTATTGAGAATTACAAGTTTAATGAAATATTGTTTTTTCCCAGTTTGTAAACATTCATCAAATGTGATTTGGTAGACGTTGCTGCATTGACAAACGGTTAATGATTTAACTGGATTTTCGCAATAGCATTGCATCAACTTTATCTCTGTAAAATGCCCATTATGCTTACTATTTTCACTCTTTTATCAACGGAAAATAAGCTGCAGTTGAGGCTGGAGAACTTATTAGCATTAATTGTGGCCACATACAGCGTATGTAAAAACTGAATTTTCCATTATGTGTATATATTTTCGTACTTTTCCGTTATCCGCCTGCCTTGTACTTTGACAGATTTTTTTTTTCATTGTAAACCCTTTCTAGTTACAAGAATAGTTTATAGATGACACTTAAACACATCGCGTGCCAGGTTGATGGCCAATAAATCATCACCTGCAATTTTCTAAAAAGCGTGGCACTGCATAACGAAAAAGAATGCTATATTTAATATGTGAAATTTGAATTATGAGGGGGTCGTTTTGGATGGGGTCATAAAAGATATCCTGGTGAAAATGTGCTTTAGCCCACTGTGCAATTTGGCACAATTTTTTGCTTTAAAAATGTTGTTCTTATCTTCCGGTTAAGGATTTTATGCCTCTAGTTAATCTTCTTCACGTTATAGTTTTAGAATTATCAACAATTTAAAAGTTGTTTAAGTGTAGCTAACCTTAATTTTATTATCATAGCAGCCATATTGTTTACATTTGTAACTTAGCAGAATAGTGGATTTGTTGCCAGCCTAGAGAAACTAAGTTTCGCAACAACAAATTAACATCTTCTTTCACTATTGCGAATTAAATCATAGTTAATCTATTCTGGAATTATCATTTAAGTTATTAAATTATCCCACATATTGACTATGCATAGCATCCACAACAAATTAAGTCCGTTTCTACCCCTTCACTGTCTTTCTGCCGCGTGAGACCATAAGTAAAGTAAACAAAACAGCATCGAACAATGAACAAATATTTTTTAAAAGTAGCACAAGAGTTTAATAAAAGTTGGTTCTTAAACGTTTAGCAGGATGTATTTGTAGGTGCACTCGATCCACTCTTAACATTAAATTTAAAACTTATACCCTGCCTTTAATGACGTACTGTTGTGAAGCTTTCATCACAGCTCCACAATAATTAATAATTGGTGGTTAATAAACTTGAAGTGATGCAAAACCAAGCTCTTCACTTTTACAGGAGGTGTGATGGATACGATGGTATTATTGAGGATAAATAAACCCAAGATATTATGGAAACGAGAGCCTTGGTTCTCTATAAAAAGCTACTGCGGATAGCGGCTCCCTATTAGAAGGACTACAATTCAAGCCACTCTTGACAACCAGACATCCTTTGGAGGTGATTAATATCAAAGTAAGGCTAGACCTAGTGGAAACCATCCAAGGAAAAATAGATGTTGCACCGAGTGCTTTGAAATGTCTCACTTTGGAGACAGTTACTAATAGATATCCACCTACTCAGTGGCTACACATGTTTACTGATGTTTACACATTTTTACTGATGGTTCTCAGTTTGACTGCCATTTTAAAGTTTTGATTGGTGTGTTTTCGGATCTTCTTTTCGTTTTACACCCCTGCAAAATACATTGGTTTGTTCTTTGATGGTGAACCAATGTATGTATAGCCCTAAAGCAATTATTAGGTACCCATTAAAAAGTTTCCAAATGCAGTCATTTTTTCCAATTCTC